AAGGACGCGGAGAGGGGAAAGACGCGGGGAAGGGAAGGATGCGGAGAGGGGAAGGACGCGGGGAAGGGAAGGACGCGGAGAGGGGAAGGACGCGGGGCCGGCGGGGCGGGAGCGCGGCGTGCGGAGGGTGTGAGCGGCGGGGCGGGGCCGCCCTCCGGGCAAGCGAGACGCGGCTGTGAGCGTGGTCGTGGTGATTTATTAAAAAAATACGGATATCGATCTAGTACCGGTATCCAACTGTGGCGGGCAAAAACTCTCTAAGAGTTTAAAGTCAGAAAGTGTGTGTTTATTGCGATGCGGGATAGCTCCCAAATACACACCGCGCCTTCCAGTTGATTACATACTTTTATCCATACAAGTATTGAATACACAAAATACAAATACATATTCATCATTTTGGTACATCCCCTTCCTCCCTTCGTATGCTAATCACTCCAAAAGCTATTATGCATGCGTTGTTTGTCCCTTGAAATGGGTCGGTGTCCCTTTCATGGGGAGGGGTCCCAAAATGAGGAAGTCAATGAAGTCTTCCTCGTTCTGACCTTTCTACCTTTTCAATGCAAATGTGACAAATGAACTCTTGGTAGAACTCCCATTCCTTGTCTTCAATTGGTTTCAGAACAGAGGAGGCCCACAATTGTCTTATGTTCCTAAAAGCTATTTGTCAGTTTCTATATTCTTCACTATAAACCCAGCTAACTAAACATTGTGCTGACAAGCAATCAATTATTAGTTAACTACTAACTCCTAACTTCATCAAGGCCTACTCATTTATTTTCATTAACTCTAGTAAGGCTTATCTCTGGCTAAAATCTCTAAATTCCTTAAAATTTACATTTCATTGGCTGTGGCTGTGACCGTGGCTGTGGCTGTGGCTGTGCAGGTGGAGGGCTCCAGTGCCCCCCGTGCCTCTGGCCCTGCTCGCTTGCCCCGGAGCAAGCCCTGGGAGTGCCCCCCGACCGGGGCCCGGGTTGGGAAACTGACCCATCTGTGGAATTTCAGCAGCATCAGTGTGGGTTGGTGATGCTCTACCTCTCTCAGCCCCAAATTATTAGGCTAACCCAGAGATACGAGGCTTTGAGGGGAGGAACATCAGGAGATGGGCAAAGATTCAAAGGAGACTCTAACCCTGATGTGGCTGTCCAGCTTCTTTATTCCATGAGATCCAGGGGAAAAGAAAGGGGAAAGAGAGTGAACAGGAAGGGTCATGGGCTTATCCAGGCTCTGGACAGGGAGGGCTTCTCTGGCTCTCCGCCAACCCCATCAGGGCAGGAAGGAGGGGACACTCTTATCTGATCAGAGTCGCAGGGGTCCCTGGAAATGGGGAAAAGCACAGCCCGAGTGCACTGTAACAGGGTGAGCTTCAGTGTCATGGCTAAGTGTCCCAGACTGAGAAGCAAGATGTTTTCTATTTGCCATCTGTGTAGCAGTTGTCTTCTTTTAATTTTAAAGTGAGCAGCTTTCCTTATCTCTATCACAACCAATTCTCCCTCCGGGGAGACATCTGCTGATAATGGGTATTGAATGTCACTGCCTGACTGGTAAGAACTGTAACATCCCATTGGGAGGAGCCAAGCATTCCTACCTGGATATAATCTGGGTCAGACTCGGCCTTTTCTGTTGAATTCCAAAGAGGAACAGTTGGGGTTTTCCACTGTACCTTCAGAAATAAACTACACCCATCTACAGCATCACTGCTCCAACAGAACCACACCTGCCACTGCAGCAGGACTGCAGCCACTCCAATTTGGATTGTAACCAACATGCTGGCCAAAAGGGTGTCAGGTTGTATTCTGACTCTTTTTCTTTTTTATTATTGGATGTATTTTGTTTCTTTTCCTTTTTCCTAATAAATTGTATTTCTGACTTAGAGTCTCTCACTGGTTTTGCTGTCAAACCAGAACACTCAGCAAAACATCTGATCCAAAAATGTGGGGGAAAATTGTCTTCAGGGTATGTTTTGTAACTTTCTATTTTTCTATTAGAATTTTGTGCTCTGAATAGTCTCATTTATGGAAATCAAAATAGAGTGCTCATGCTCTTACAGTGTTTGCACACTTACTTTCATTGACTGAAATTCGACCAAATTCATACTAGTTTTTTAAAATGCTTTGTTCTTCCTGTGAATAAAAGCAATACGGAGTATCCGCACATATACACATGCGCATACACACACAAGATGTGAAAAACAAGGAAGATATTTAAAAACCAAGAATTTTGGTGCAACATGTGGGAGTCAGAATATGTGTTAGTACATCAAAAAATGTTGAGTACTGAGGAACAGGGGCAGTCATGCCAAAACCAGGCAGAATTTCATGGCTGCAAATATGCTGCTAACATAACCAATGATTTAGAAAGTGCCTTTTGTATGTACAAAAGTCAGGTTTTTTTCTTGGAAGCGTTTTGTACAGACCCCAGGCTACAGACATGGAATCTTAGGGATCATTATGGATATCTGTAGATTGTTTGCTCTTGTTCTGCACACTCAAAGAAAAGTGCCAATGTCTGCTTTAATGAAATAAGAGTTTCACATCCTCTTTGGTGCAGTTTCACCGGCTCTGATGCTTGACCTCAGAAAGAAAGATTTTCCTACTGTCAATCAACACTTTTCTCATTACAGCTGGAGCCATGCTGTTTCACCATGCCTTTCCCAGGGGAGTTTTAATCTCATCTTCTCCACCTGTGCCCATACAGGACCTGTAGATAGCACTCTTTGCTGTGCTAAACGTTGGCAATTCCAGACCTCTTTCCTCAGGCTCCCAGCCAGAGCTCAACCTGCAGCTCCCACTGCAGCTGCACCCTGAGCTACCTGCACAGTATGTTTGCCCCTTTTTTTGGATTGAGCATATCTGCTAATATATTAAAAGGGAAAAAGAAAGCTTTCATAGCATTTTACACTGTCCTTACTTACATTATTGCAAGTAACAGAATTAAGGCTAACATTGTTGTCATAGGGCAGAAATTATTATTAAGACAAGATCAGGAAAGATTACTGAAACTTATTTATTGCTCGACTTGTTAATCATTCACTACTTGTTGGACATGAGACTGGTCTATCCAGTTTTCCTAATAAAAAATTTTAACAGAAAAATTAAAATGTTAAAGAACACAGAAAGACAGCGTATGTTTCCTCCCATTTAGAGTCTAATTTGACTTTTTTTGTGAGAATATCTTGCTTAGCGCTACATCTGCAAGTTGTGTATAATTTACTTCTATTTCAAGTGGGCTAGGTTGATGCTATTGTGCATACTTTCTCCATTCCTCGAACCCTTTCTGTATTTTATATATAAAATACTGGGTCAGGCATTCTTTTCCATCCAGAAGGCTGATCTTAGGTGGAATATAAGTTCCTGACAGAGCTGAATGTCTTCCAAAGAAACTTTCTGCCAGTGCCACAGATTGTGATGGAACATTCAAAACATTCCACAAATGTAAGGTTTGTGGCCATTTCAGGTAAATTCACGTGCATATTTTTGTGTCCTGTTCATCCCCTCTACATGTCCTGAAGATTGTGGGTGATACAGTTAGATGTAATTTTCTCTGTGTTCTCAAGGACTTACACAACTCATTGTTTATATTAGCTGTAATATGAGCACCCCTGTCTGATTCAATAGACTCTGTAGAACTCTATATCTAGGTTTAACTTTTTAAGCCAAGGCCTTTTGTGCTCCCCTTGTGCCAGCCCTTTTTGCTGAAAAGGCTTCTGCCCAGCCTGGTAGCTGATCTGCTATCACTGGCAAATGTTTACATGCAGCTGCAGGCGTCCACAGACTCTACCTGTAGTCACTGAAAAGATAAGTGGATTTTTAGTTAGTCATCCTATCTGTGAGCTTGGTCTGATACTTGAGAACTTCTGGTAGACTGGGAGCCTGTTTGTGATCCTTCTTGCAGTGGCATAAATTCCTGGAGCTGCCCATTTTTTTCTATTTTATTTGGCTAGCTGTTGCCTCTGCCTCTCCACCTACTTTGTTGTGAAACCTTATAACCACACAGATTAAATACCTCTTTGGAAGAATTGGCTTCCCCCCTGTAGACCACATTCCATCATAATCTTGTGTCACCTCCCACTTTTCCCACTGTTTCTTTCCTTCTGTTGAGCAGTCCTTCTCATACATGGTCTAGGGTCTCTCAAACTTGGCCATTCACTCTGGTTAACCAGAGCCACAACAGCACGTGCTCTATCATCAGGTAGAGGCTTTAGGCTCACTGGACTCCAGGTGCTACATCCTTTTAATATTATCTGCCATTGTGAAGATCAGTTCATATCTGTGTGCCCATTGCACTGTTAGACTTGGGCTGCAGCATCTCCACACCATGTGGGATAGGATAAGGGGAATAACTAATTTCTAATATTTCTGCTGTTGTTGCCACTGACTTAGGCTGGTGCTTCTGCTGCAAGTGAAGCTAATTTAACTGAGTAATATACAAATAGTCTCTGATAGGGTCCTAAATTATGTTATTCCTTTGCATTCATGTGCATACAGATTGAAGGGTTTTGTATATATAACCTAGGAGCCCAAGATCAGGAGCAGACACCAGAGCTCCTTTAATTGCTGTGTAAACTTATTTTTTCTCCAGGTCCTGTGCAATAGACTTTATATCTTTGCTCTTGGTTTCCCCAGTCAGAGGTTTAATCAATTCCTCTGCTGCAGGAATA